CAGGAAGGATGAAGGGAAATCAAGAATATAATGCACTCAGGAGTTTGATGACTGGATGGTTGATGGTGTCATTTGAGAAGTGAGAGTTGATTGAAAAAAGACCAGTGTATTTAATTCCACAAAAGTCATGGTGAAGAAAGTATCCTTAAAAGTGTTGAATATTATTTAAACATCAATCGTTATTGATATTGACATTTATATTAGTATATAAGCCAGATGCCAGTAAACTGAGGAAACTACAGAGTCCTTAAAGTAGGGTTATTGTTTTTATTTTGGGGTAGACATAGGACTTGAGCACTTTGTTAAATTCAAATTAAGATTAAATAGAAAATTTGTAAATATTCCAGGAAGAGATAATTACGTAAAAAACGAAAGTCACCTCAGTGATTGGAAAGCTTAGGATCACAGGCTTTTTTCTTTTTTTAATCCACTTCCTTCTATCCTGGAGAAAGGATTAGACAATAAATATGGAAATAGAACGTATGAGATGGTGGGCAAGCTCTCAGCTCCCAACAGATAGGGAGGAAAGAATTTGAGGCTTACGTAGCTGCATTTGAATTTTGGCACTACCACTTATTCTCTGTGTGACTATAGGCAATTTACTTTGAACTCTAAGCATTGGATTTTTCTTTTCTAAGATAAGAATAATATATGCTACCTGAAATTTTCTTATTTAACTAAATTCAATCATCAATGTAAAGTATCTAGCACAGTATCTGGGATGTGTTCAGCACTCACTAGATAGGTGTTAGAATGTCATTGTCATTTTCATTGAAGGATATTGTAAGATCTTCAAGTGAGGCAAGCAGAAAAAATATATATTAAGGACTTGACGAGAGTGGAAAGTGTTAAAAATTGCGCTGCTTATGAGTGAACCAATGAATGAATACTAGGATTATAAATTAAAGATGAAGACCAAGTGTCTTATGGTGGCCAGTGGCCAGTGGCCAGTGGCCAGTGAATTTGTGAAGTCTGGTCACTACTGGGTCTGTTCACAGCGTAGCCTCTCACCACAGAGCAAAGGAAGAGAAAACAAACATGGTACAGGGTTGGGATTGATTAATCAGATTCACATAAATCTGTTATTTTGAGATGTGTCAGTCTCAAATTACTGCTAACAAAATATCCCGGGTTATCATAGCATTTTGAGCATTGTACCTAATATGTACAGACCACATGTATAAACATTGTAACTGAATTATTTCTTATTTTAGACCTTAGCGTACACCAGGGTTTCTAAACTTCAGCACCACTGATTTTTCGGACTGGGTGTTTCTTTGTTGTTGGGGGCAACCCTGTGCATTGCAGGATGTTTAGAAGCATCCCTGGCCCTGTGTTGCACCCCCCTCCTAGTTGTGATAATCAAAAATGACTCCAGACATTGTCGAATTTACCCTGGGGGTTGAGGAGGGGGCAAAATCATCTTCAGTTGAGAACCACTGAAATATTCTCATATCTAAAATAGTTGCTTATGAAGATAAAACGGAGGGACATGTGATATTTACATTTGTAAAACTGCAATATTTTATAACTCAGTAACAATTCCAAATTGCTTCAGAACACCAGAATTATAAATGTACATTTCTTCTGACAGAGAAAATCTTAAAGGTAGACTATAATGTATAGCAAGGAATATAAATAGTTTTTTTTCTACTTGTATACTTTGATTTTAATTGAGAACATTGTAAACACTAATTTACCCTTTTTTTACTTTGAATTATTTACCAAGCCAAAGTGATTACTTCTATATGTTTTTAAATCCTCTACGTATTCTTTTGTTACATATATTAAATATTCTAAGCCAAAATCATTTATGTTTTCTTTTCCAGTTGTTTTTTGTCCTTATTATTGGTGGCTGCTGTGGTGTGGAAGATCAAACAAACTTGCTGGGCTTCTCGACGGAGAGAGGTATCAGTCATACTATTCAATCTTTTATTTGATGATTCCAGCAAACGTATGGGTCTCTATTGCTTAACGAACATGCTCCTTTCAAATATAGAGTCCCAAATGAATTTTATTTATTAAGATTAAGCTAATAAGCCTAGTGTTTTTTCCTCAGAACAAACTTGACCACTGACATTTTAAGTCAGTATGTATAGAAACATTGGTGAGTTACAAAAATTTTTGTTTAATAGTGTTAGAATTTATAGTGAATACAAATATTAATTCTGTTGGTAAAATAACCTGCAATCTCTTTAATTTAGGTAATTAGTTATACCATAAAACCATAATTTATTTTTAATTACTGTCTCTCTTGCAATTTGAAAGAAAGTTCTGAATGACAAATGTTTACCTTTGGTTTTTATCTCCTAGAAATTTTTTGTTGTTGTTGTAATCAAATCTTTTTCATTTCCTGTTTATCTGATAATCCAAGAATATTTGAAGTACACTTCAATGTGATACAGCTTTGTATCAGAATTAACCATGTATATTCCTTATAATCCTGAAGTTAATAAAAACAGTAATATTCTTACAGAACAAATGATGACATAAATATATTAGATAAATACAGTTTCTTAACTTTGTATATATTAGCTAATTGAAGGAAACAAAGAAATACAATCTGAGGAACATAAGTGTACAGATTTGTTCTATACCTCATATAATAAAAAAGTAAGTTTCTGTTTTTATTAGTATTATATTACATTAGAATTAATATTAGTATTCTATTATTAGTATTATTAGTATTCTGTTTGCTGTTGTACTTCCTACTATATTTTTGTATGTATAATTTTGTGCAACAATGTAAAACAATGATATAATTGTTTACCTTCTTTTTGCCACATACAAAGAGATTATATTTAAAGGTATTTAAAAGCAATCCAGAGTATTCTAAGTTATAGAGTTAGTGAATGACATGGGTTCTTCTTAATTATTCATTTACTTTCAACCATTCGTCAAAGTTCAGTGCCTACCTATATCTACAAGCTTGATACCCCTCCCCCACAAAAAAATGGGTCATCCTAAACCTCTCTGCCCCTTCGATTTCTATGTATGGCCAGTGTAACATCAATGAGAATTGACTTGTTATGACCCTATGAAAAAGTAATCCAATTGAAAAGGAACTTATTAAATATAACTATATAAATATTCGACAAGAAGTGGAATTCTGTGTGGAGATAGCCAGTAGGTGTACACGTTAGTCTATTAAGGCTAAATGATAGATTCATGAGGGAAAAAACAATTGGTAGACAGACAGTGTGAATGAAGACCTTCTACAATGGAACAGGGCAGGTGACATTTATGTCTCAAATCATTAGGAAAGAAGTCAGGATCAATCAGGGATCCTTTATTTCCACTTAATTATGACTATCAATGTTTAAATATCTGATTTCTAAAGTTTATAAAATGCAACTGTGTAAATGTGGCATTGTGCAAAGATCAATGTACAGATCTGACATTAACTGGTAAGTGGTCTAATTTTCTTTCCTCTTAAGAGAAAGGATTGCACTATGTAACTAATTCCCAGTGGGAGGTTCCTAGAACTCGAGAAATGTTTATATATAACAACTAAAGTTTCGAAACAGCATTAAGTATTTGAGAAAACTAATGTGAAGCGTTTATTTACCTATACAACTCACATTTCTCAAAATGACAAGTAGCTGTTCGTTAATATACCACCTCAGCGTAGTAATGTTTATTGCATATTATCAGAAGCTCTGGGAAGCTATTACTTTAAATGTAAAAATATGAATTTGTCTTTTGACTGAAAGTCAGAATCTTTCCAAATATGTGTTGCACATGGAGAGAAAAGGGAGAACGAGGAAGGCAAAGCGCAGTGAGGGGCACGGGCCAGTTGTCATCTGTGCTCGAGATGCCCTCAGTGCAGCTCCCTTCTTTCCAACACTCATCTCGGTGGTCTTCGTTAAACAATATAATCATGATTGCATTTAATTTGCTACCTCTACTCAAATACAAAATCTAAAAATCTGTCTTGTTGAAAGGTCATGCATATTGCAATATAATATATTAAAAAATATGTGAGGAGGGCCGGCCGAGTGGC